TCATTGGAGACAATGAGATATGGATCCAATGGCATAATGAATACAGCACCAGTAAGGATTCATTAGTTAACTTGAAGACAATCTCTCTTTCTTTATCCCTCTCTCTCTCTTACAAAGGTATGATAAGGCTGCATTTTGTCTTGAAGAACTAATCCTTTCCAATCCTCACAATTATATATTCCATCAACGTTATGCTGAAGTGAATATAATACATGTTTCCTATACAATACTATTACTCTTCTTTCTTCCTTTTCATTCTTGTATAGGTGTGCTATACTCAAAATACAACAGAGAGTCTTGAAATTGCACGCAAACATTATGCGACCTCACTGAAACTGAAACCATCTAACCTCCGGTCACTCTATGGCCTGTATCAGACTGCAGTGAGTCTTGGAAGACACTTGAAAAAGAAAGAAGCAAAAGTTAGGAATGATAACATTGCACAGTGGTGCATGTCACAGCTTTTGGAGACCTATCAGGTAAATGTGATGGTATCCTTTCCTCAGCAGATTATGTAAATGTGACTTTTCCTTGTAGGAGAATTGTAACATGGAGCAATTGAAAGTTTTAGAAAATTTCCTCAAGCCCCCGTCGAAATAGGAATTGAAACTGTGCGAATATATATTATAGTTACTAGCAGTTTGAAATCATTAATAATCTTTCAGTAATAATTTAATTTATTGACGTAAGTTCAAAAAATATGCACACATTATGTATTTAAAACAGCTGCCTGCCAACTTGATAAGCCTGGTTAGTCTGTGTTACTGGATCTGAAGCAGTTGGACAGATTATGTCTATTAGAAATGAAAACAATCCAGTAACAAATGGAATGTTTATTCAACTACCATAGTCATGAGAAGGCTGTTGCAATTGCTGCTTTTGCTTCTTATTGTTGATCACAACAACAACCACCAATACAACAATCAGTGCAATACACACAGCAATTATCAATGATAGCACTGTAATAATTGCAATAATAGAAGCTGATAGACTTTGACTTTGAGTATCTATATCATATTAATAAGAGCATTTATTTATTATTAGTATAGGATATACTAACTAGATGTATTAGCAGCACAGTAACAAATGTATTGGTCTGGTTGTGATCCCAGGGAGCAGTCAGCAGTACCACAAGGGTTTGATGCTTCACAGATGTTAGTCAAAACACAACTAGTGCAGTTAGCTGATGGAGTATATCCTCTGTCACAGGACAATGAACAAACTAGCTAAAACATAAACTTTCACTGTTTTTAACATTCTTACTTACGACATAAACAATTATTGGCACTCATACTATAACCTGATGAACAGGCTTGACAGCATCCAGTAGCATCACATCTCTCACAACCAGGCTGTGTGCATGGATGAGCTATAGAAACAATTAACAATACAT